AACCCACCACCTTAGGTGTATGTGGCTGGCGCCTTAGCCGCTTGAGCCACAGGCACCGAGCCACGCCTGGCTATTTTTGTTGTTGTTGTTGTTGTGGTTGTTTGGCAGGCCCAGGCCAGGTTTGAACCAACCAGCCCCACTGTATGTAGCCAGCACCCTAATTGCTGAGCTACGGTGTCGAGCCCCCTCCTCCCAAAAGGCATCTATAAAGGTCTCTGACCGTCGCTGAGACATGGAGTAATCATTCCTGTGGTTCCCCTCATGCAGGTGGTATTTGGAAATAAACCTTTCTCAACTCACAATCTACCGTAATTGTGAGTTGATCTTTCAGTGAACCAACCAAGGGAAAAGGGCGGGTTTTGCCATGATCCCTACAGTTGTTTGTGTTTCTGCAATTTAAAAGCCTTCCATTGCTCAAAACTACAGTCACATCTGCTGCTCATAAACATGTGGGGTGGTCAGAGGAAAATTGACACAAGGAGGTGAGTTGAAACCCAGATAGGCTTAGAGTAGTGGTTCTCAACCTTCCTAACACTGCAACCCTTTAATACAGTTCCTGTGGGTGGCAACCCACAGGTTGAGAACCCTGGCTTAGGGCAAAGGGAAGAAAAGAGTCACAGGCTGTGAGATGTGAATGAGCATAGGTGTCATGGAAGCAGGGGCCATAAGCTACAAATAATTATGGAAAAGAGAAACCTGGTTAAATTCACAGAAATATTGGGGAGATCAATGGAGCATCCCCACAAAAGATAGGATTTGGGATTTGAGCCACTTTGATGTCAATCTCCAAAGAATAACTTTAGCTGATAAATAAGATACAATAATAAATTTTTTTAACATTCCATTATACATACTGCAAAATACAAAGTGAAGTTTAGGACAACATTTGTAAAACTTTGTATAGGTTTTTTTGTATAACATAAATGAGACCCAAATATTTAAATATAAATATTTAATAAATTCATTATAAATTTTTTCTATAGATTATGTTAAACATTTTATCAAAGAGACAACACTCTGTCAATAACCTTCCTAAATAAGTTTAGAATTCCCATCTAATTCCCCTTTGATAATAGTGAATGAATGTTCAGAGTGGCTGAAATACCTTTAAAAATATGTATGCATTATCCAGAGATGCAAAAGATAACTCTGGTAGAATGATCTGGAACTCATATAGGGCAATAATGATAGAAAAGCTTCGAAATCCTTAGTGTGGCCCAGACTTACCTTTACGAAATGGATCAGATGCTCAACTTCATTCACTTTGTAGGTCTCCAATCCTAGCTCCTTGGCTAATCTTAAGATACGATTCTGGGTTGGCCCAACATAGGATCCTCCAAGGTCTACATATTTAACCTTTTCATTCTGTTTTTCCACAGAAAAAAATAAAAACAAATATTCATGAAAATATCCCTACAATAAAAATGTCCTTAAATAAGCAAATTGACCTTTCAGGAATTATAGACTTTGAGGTGTATCCATGGAGAACTAGATCCTGCTCTCAACTCTACTTCATTCATGTGACTAATTTATTAAATTAGTCTTTAAATTAGTCTTCTTCAAAGGTTGTCCCTTAGTCATTGGAAATGAAATCTATTCAAACTGTATACAAAAATACTATTAAACATAAAACAATTTCAATGTCTAAATTATGACCAAATATTTCTTGGTGCTCATTTCTTCTCTTGCTTTTTCTCTGGCATTTGGTGTCTCAAAATTAGCCTGAAGTACTGAGTAAAGAGATTCATCAACAATTCACAGCTTACAAATTCAAGGCACTAAAAACTAAACATGTTGTATTATACTGTGAATGGTAAGGCTCAGAATCCTCTTGCCTGTTCTACATTCAATCACTTTTGCTTTAATTTAATAAATGAAAAAGGGTATTTTTTAAAATACAGCATTTAGTCATACTAATTCAACTTCTTTTATGTAAAAGTCACTCTTATATGCTATATTTTCTGGGGAATATGAAGATTTCAAGAAGTATAGGAGGTAATATGTACAAAGAGGACATAAGATGTACATAACCAATGAAGCAACATATAATAATTGTCTGTGTGTGCAACAGATAAGTGGTATTAATACAGAAGAAAAGCAAGTGGTTTTTTTTTTTT